CGTTATTCACGTAGCTGAAGTGGCGTACCTTAGTTCGAATTAGTTCAAACTTACCTTGGTCCACACTCGGCAGGCAGGCTCACCCGTCGACTCCGCGGTACTCCTCTCGGCGAGCTGGAGTACCGCAGTCGACGGCGAGCACTTCCGGGTTCGACTTATCGCGTCCAGACTAGACGCGATAAGTCGAACCCAGAAGTTCGATTTCCAGCCGTCGAACTTGCGGGTAAGTGTAGCCAAGGCCTAAGGTGCCACAAGTACTCCTCGTTCTTTTCACTTCATATCACACACTTGTTTATCAGTGCCACACAGTGCACACACCTTTCTTCCTAGCCTGTAAGCACATTAAAGAGATTAATTTCTGTACTATGAATCCAATTTACTCATAACTGTAAAGGAATAGTGTATAAATTTATTAGATTAATACTGAAACTCCGTAACCAATATTTTTTGCTTGTTTTAAAAATATTTACTCAGGAAAGATGCAGAATGCATTTTTCTTCAACAGGTGAATTGTGTACATGTAGCTTCCCCTAATATCAATAGACTATGTACCTGTGGATTGAGGGCATGATACAGCCATGTTTTCCTAAATTAATTCTGGTTTTATTTGTAATTCATCGGCCTCCTAAAATTTCTTTGTATATAATTGGTAACCTTCTGATTCATGCACAAGTGGCAGAACATGCAAGATAAGTATGAAATTAGCCAGCAAAGCAGCAGTGTGTGCAGTTGCATAGGAATGTCAATATATATTTATTTTAGAGAAAAAATGTGCAGGCTTCTGTATATAGTGTTTGTCATTTGCTATAATGTACCTGACTTGGGCCCTCACCCGTCATAGTCCTTCTAGCTGCTTTGGTGATGAAGAATTGTTTTAAGGAAAGAATACTGTACCAACAGATCACAATAATTGTACAGGTCTTTTTCATAGCTCCATTTTCAGTAAAACATATTGCTATAGCAATATTGCTATATTTTCCTTCCACTTCTTATATATTCAATTACTAACAAATGGTTTTATCATAAATTTTCTAATACTCTCTCTCCTATCTAAAAATTAACAATTAACAAAAAGGAAAAAAAAGACGGCAAAAAAGGATTGCTGTTGACTAAGTAGTAAAGATTCATATGCACAAAACAGCAGAAAAGATTTAATTGTTAGAACCTGGAAAACCTTACTATTCTAATCCCCAGAACACTTGTCAAACACCATGTTTCTCCACAGAAAAGTATTCCAGCCAATTTATATTCTTAGAAGCATTCAGATCTGACTATAATCATTCAACAGTCCTAACAAGCAATTCAGTCTGAATTTATTCAATCTGAACTGTTAGCATCAATGTGGAACTAGCAGAAACATTTAACCTAGTCCTCCCACTGCTGCCCACAACCCCATGGCAGCCTTTCAAAATATTTCAAAATCCAATGTTTCTGCTAGGAAGCCATGCCAGGAACTCTGAGATAGGTTACCAAGAGGCACTGGGATTGCAATGACTTAAAACAATACTAGTGTGGGCATGGAGAAAAAGTGCAAAGGGTTGTAAACTTCTGCATGGCTGATGTGGTTGCACTGAATTGTTTGTGCTTAAATTGGTTCTGTTTAACTGGTTCAAATAAAAAATGTCCACGTTTCTATTGCATATACATATATATATTGTATATAAAAGTTCCATGAAAGTACCTCTGGAACTGCAGCTTCCATTAGAGAGAAAGGAGGAGGTACACATCCACTGTCCTGTGCAATTTCTAGTGGCTGATAGATAACTTCAGAAGGGTGAAGATAAAAGAATGAGGTTGAAGAGGCAGGAGACTGAAATAAAACAAGATTTAGTACAGGTTACTGAACTGTGCCAGTGGTAAGCAACACCAAACTAAAGACTTAAATAACTGACACTGAAATTTAGGCAACTTAAAAAAACATTTAAAAGTTTTAGATACTACTCTTGGCTTCGAGTCCCTTTGCTATTTTTGTGTTTTACAATCAAATGTTCTTCTTTAAAAATGTCTCTCTCTCCTCTGCTATGTGAAGGGCCGACACAAACAAAAGGGAAAAGTAACCAACTGACCATACAGGGGAAATAATTAAGATGATTTTACATGACGTTCTGTCAAAAGCACTCAGTCAACAAACTGTAAAAAAAAAAAAAAAAAAATTACTCATTCAGTTATAGTAATCTTAGATACTACTGTTAAAAAAAAAGTCAAAAGTTTGCAAACAAAAGTCTCAATTTTAAAACTGATGGTGTTGCTTTCACATTTTAATCCCAGGGCAATTTGGTAGAAAAGAAAAAAGAGAAAATACAAAAGTCAGAAAGCAGGAGAGGGTAAGAAAGTTTTCTAAGCACATTAAAAATGAACTGATGTACTTTTAAAAGTAACTAAAATATAAAGTTGGTTAAGATTCCAAATCCATAACTGAAAACATATATAAACTTAAATATATATTTATAAATACATTATAAAAGCAAATTGAAAGGTTTTTTTTAAATCCCTGCAAAAATATGATAGTTTTGTTTTTCCTGCAATAGTTTACAAAAATAAATAAATAACTAATGTAGAAGAGGAGATATTGCTTTGTGTATTTGTGACATCATAAATTCGTACAATAAAAATACAGAAACCTCAACACCAGTTGTGGCGTTTAAATAGGAAATAAAGCAATTTTCAAGTATTTTGTTTTTAAAACATATTCATTTGTAATTTTTAGGTCTATCCATGATTCTGTTAATCTTTTATGATATTATGAAGGTATTGATAAAGACTTCGTAAGTTAAAATTGTGTTGAGATTTACACTTAAAGCAGGATGAACATTCCTCTGTTCCACACTGTAATGACTAAATTTAGTCCTAAAATTTACCACCACAACTCTTCAGAGAACAAGTTAATTTTATCCCCTCACACATTTAAAAAACAAAAGGAAACCCCCTCCACAAAAAAATGTAATTAACTTAGTTAAGGTTGCATTTCCTAGGAATGCAATTACTACCTTAACAGTAGATTCCACAGCCTAACAACAAATTCACTTTAATTTTTAGCATAGAACCACTCACTATGCACGTATGTATGCAAAACCATAATTCTATCCTCCTACTATCTCATGTAAAATAATACTTCATGTATCTATAAATTAACAATCTTGCTTTGTTTGTCAAGCATTGAGTAAGTCTGTGGGGCTAAACTAAGTGTCCAGTCTTGTAAATCTTTAATTACATGAGTGAAAGTTTTCAGAATTGGAACAAGTTTAACTTTGCACACACAAAAATATATATAAGCACAAACTTCTGTGCCCATACTATACTCCATAAAAGCACAGGTATCCATGCTTACTGATCCTGATGAAGGATCAGGGCATTGAAAAGATTTTTATTTATTATAAGTTTTTTCAGTTCACCTTTAGCAATATACGATGAATATTTTTTGGGTTTTGTTAACGTGGCGCAATCATAAAACAAATCATTGAACCGGTGTAAAAAAATTCCTCGCGCATACCCTCCCAAAAAACTTCAGATAAACTAAAAAAACATATAAAATGTTTTCAGTTTTGCCTAGAAGATCTGTTATTAATCGAGAGAACATTCAAAAATCACGATCCATTACAAAGAGAGTCCTGTTTCATGTTCCCTCAAGATTGTATCATGGGATGGTCAGCTGTTCCAACCTTGCTGGCTTGTCTTGCATGAAACAAGACATGGAAAAGGGGATTTTTGTCTTGCAATTCTTCACAGATGTAAGCAGATCCTTAACAGGGAGTCTGAAATATGCATGCTTTAATGAAAGTGGCATTCTTCAGACTCCATTTGCATTGGTGTATTTGCTTTAGGTTTACCCAACTGATGACTGAGTTTGATATGAATAGCTTTTGTATTAGTAGCTTCCACTACAGTGCACAGTGGAGAAAAGCTCCTTGGGAATATAACTGGTCTTCTCTTCTTTTTCTTATTTGTATATGCCATTGCTGTAGTGCTGTAATATTACTAGGAAAAGCTTCTGGGAGGCTCTGACAGTTTGGAGGATATGTCTGTGTCAACTTATGAATTTCAACTTTGGCTTATGAACACCATTTCTATTTATAAGAAGAGGTTACTCACCCTGTGCAATAACTGTGGTTCTTCAAGATGCGTGTCCCTATGTGTACTCCCAGCTAGGTGCGCTTGCGCCCACTGCATCTTTGATCAGAGATTTCGCATAGCAGTGTCCATTAGGCCCACACATGTATGTTACTCAGTCTCGTGCATTGCACCATTTTATATAGTACCGCATAGGCCGAAATGCCCTCAATTCCTTCTCAAGCTTCATAGCAGACAACTCCAAAGACAAAGGAAAGAAGGGTGGGTAGTGGAGCACCCATAGGAACATGCATCTTGAAGAACCACAGTTCCTGCACAGAGTGAGTAGCCACTTCTTCTTCGAGTACTGTCCCTATGGGTGCTCCACTCTAGATGGCTACTGAGCAGTTCCCCTTGAGGAAGGGGCTTTGGAGTGAGACCAATACTGAAGAAAGCCCTGAAGAGCCAAATACAGCATTGGAAGCGGAATCATGAGTTAATGCATAATGCTCAGCAAAGATATGTATAGAGGTTCAAGTCGCAGCTTTATGTCTCTCAATAATGGGAACATTTTCCAGAAAGGCTATTGAAATAGAAATGGACCTCGTAGAAAGCGTTTGTATGTTCGAGGGTGCTTGGAGATTGCAAGGTTGGTAGCAACAATGAATGCAGTCAGATATGCACCTAGAGAGTCTTTGTTTATAAATTGTTGACCCTTTTGAGCTATCTGCAATTGAGACAATTTGGGGGACTTTTTAAAGCAATTAGTCCTGTCAAGATAGAAGACCGGGGCTCTTCTAACATTGAGTGTGTGTAACAGTGCTTCTTACCCAGCTGAGGTGTAGGGTAAAAATCCAGAAGGTGAAGGTTAATGTGGAATTTTGAAGATGCTTTTGGTAAGAGCTTGGAGTGTGGTCATAATATGACTTTGGCTTTGAAAAATATAGTGAAAGGGGAGTATGCCATAAAGGCCCCTATTTCCTTAACTTGCCGGCTTGACATGATGGCTACCAGAAATGCCATTTTTACTGATAAATACAGGCGCGAACAGGTAGTCAGTGGCTTGAACAGTGTCCTCAAGTTAAGGACCAAGTTCGGATTCCAAATCAGAATAGGACATTTGACTTGTGGGAAGAGATTTCTGACTCCCAAGGAATCTCATTGTAGTTGAGTGAGCAAACACGGAATAACTCTCTATTGGAGAGTGGAAAGCTGTGATGGCTGCCAGGTGGACCCTAACAGAGCTCAACAACAAACCTGAGTATTTCAGTTCAGGATTAGTCCAGTATATCTGACAGCTATGAGGTTGCTGGTGGAATGTACTTTAGGTCACACCAGCAGCAAAATCTTGTCCATTTTTGCGAGTAAGTGTAGTGTGTAGACTGTTTCCTGCTATGTAATAGTACTCTTTTTACTCCACCTGAACAGACTGTTTCTAAACCCGCAAACCATTGAGTAGCCATGCTTTGAGGTGAAGCACTCTGAGATTGGGGTAAAGGATCTTCCTGTCTTTTTGGGAAAGAAGATACGGAGCAGTCCAGAGACTGATCAGTGAACAAGCGACCAGCTTTATGAGGGTAAGGAAACGTTGTCTGTCTGGACCAGGGTGGAACTATTAGAATACCTCTGGCTTTGTCCTCCTCTATCTTGAGCAGAACTGTGGATATTAGAGGAGTCGGAGGGAATGCATATAGTAGACCTGACAACCACAGAAAGTGAAAGGCATTGCCACAAGGACTGGAGACCCAGGCCAATCTCTGGAGCAGAACTGAGCACCTTTCTTGTTTCTGGCCATGGAGAACAGATCTATCTGAGGGATGCCCTATTGCCAAAATATGTGGTTGAGTACAATGGAATCTATTTCCCACTTGTGGTCTTGAGAAAAGTGTCTGCTGAGGGTATCCGCGGTTACATTCTGATCGCCTGTGAGGTAAACTGCTGTGATGATGATCTTATTGCATATGCACCAATTCCAAAACTTTGACAGCTTCAGCACAGAGGGAGGGGGATCTTGCCCCTCTTTGTCAGTTGATATAGAACATGCATGACATGTTGTCTGGCATGACCTGTATGTATTTGCCCCAATCAATGGTAGAAACTGGAGACAGGCATATCTGACTGCCCTGAGTTCTAGGATGTTGATGTGCAGAAGACATTTCCCATGCTCAACCCCCTAATAAAAGAGCAGGGACAGACAAGGTGCCGGGGGGCTGTTTTAAAAAGGACATGCTCTTGAGGAAAAGGAAGCCATTTCTTCAATGGAAACAAAAGACCCCCAAAAAAAGTAAATGGAGGCAGCAGGGACTTTACCTCCCCTTTGAAAAGGATTACGGTCAGGTGTTTTTTTGTTTTCCATAGGTCTGTAACTCCCTTATGCCTTTTAAGAGGTGTGTGTGGCCATGTCTACACTAGCGAGTTTACAGCGTCACAGCTGTACTGATGCAGCTGCACTGCTGTAAGATCACTCGTGTAGCCGCTTGATGCTGATGGAAGAGAGCTCTCCCATTGACATAATAAAACCACCTCCACAAGCGGTTGAAGCTATGTCGGCGGTGCAACTGTGCTGATGTAGCTTAGTGAAGATGCTACCTACACTGACAGGAGAAGCTCTCCCACTGGCGTAGGTACTCCACCTCTCCAAGAGGCGGTAGCTATGTTGACAGGAGAAGCCCTTCCATTGACATAACACTGTCTACACGGGAATTCGGTGGTATAACTGGGTTGCTCCTTTTTCCACACCCCTCAGCGATGCAGTTATATCAACCTAAGTTTGTAGTGCAGACCAGGGCTAAGGATGGGCCAAATGGTGACAGAGGCCACTGCTATTAGACTAACCACGGTATATCTAATTGCCCTATGTTTTAGGAACTTAATGTTCCCTTTGAGTTCAGACTCAAAATCCCTTGGATGGCAAGATTCCCCAAAATCCCTTGGATGGCAAGATTCCCCATCCATATAGACTAGAGAACTACAAGCTGGACAAAGCTCTCTTGTGGTAAAGAAATATTATGTGAATAAACAAACTGGATGTGATATTTTATTAAATTATACTATATCCCTTCCATTATGCCAGGAAATACTGCATAATTGCATTACTGAGATATAACAAACAATATTAACCTGAACAGTGCTGATTAACTGATTTGGGAGATATCATTTCATCAACTGAATTATGGACAAGTGATTTAAAAATTGAAAAAGCATACTATGCATTCAGACAATGAAAACAATGACCAAATGCTTCAATTATAAAATATATTTACCTGTGGAACACTCCATTGCCACTGACCTGAAAGACACTGTGCAGGTGCCTAGGTTCATAAAAATAAGATAGCTTATTATTTCATAATTAAAACATTCTCATATGGAAAACACAGACCTTTCAAATAAGTTGATTTGAAAATAAAACAGACACTGGCAGGTCTTAATTGCCCTGTGTTTCAGGAACTTAATGTTCCCTTTGAGTTCAGACTCAAAATCTCTTGGATGGCAGGAGTCCAAGTAATTTAGGCACATAAGTCCTATTCACTTGCAATGGGACTCTGATTTGGGCACTTTTGAAAATGGCACGTAGGATCCTAAATCACTTAAGCACATTTTAAAATTAATTAAAATAAATAAATAAAATAGATAAAATACAAAGTGTTACTACAATTCAAAAGTATTTTTAAAACTTTGCAACAGTCCTACTTTCAAAGATATTTTTATCATGGTCACAACTGATCAATAAAGCCATAATCCAGAAACTTTCCAGAGAACTCTTCTTCCAACTAAGGTCACAAACCTGCAAACAAAATTACTGGTGAGAACCCTTGTGCATGCATAAGTCCCTTTGACATCAGTGACACCGCATGGGTATTAGAATTCACATTGGTGCATCTAGTTGTAGAATCAAGTCCTAAACCCTTAGTGATTTCCAACTTTGTATGATTTGTTAACCATTTTTTTAAGCAAGGATGGGATTGACCCAGCTATCTAGCATTACCATAAAGAAAGGACAAGAGTTCATTCCAGGTAAGCAGGCAGAAAATTAAATCCTAGTGAGGGGTTGTAGGAATGGAATACCGCAGGGTGCTATCTACTGTGACTTGAAATTGTAGGTATTGCACTGGTAAACTTTGAAGGGAGCATTGTTTGGCCAGAGGGACAGATGCTAAGAATTTATGAGTTTGAGAGAGTGGTGAAAGCAAAACTAGAGGGTTTGAAAGAATGAGAGGGTTACTCACCTTGTGCAGTAACGGAGGTTCGTTGAGATGTGTATCCCTGTGGGTGCTCCACTTTAGGTGATTGCGCACCCTGTGCCTCTAATGGGAGAATTTCGACAGCAGTAACTGGCTGGGCTGCACATGCGCTCTCCCCATCTTGTGCCTGTCGCAGTAGTTGATTAGCTCTGTGCAGCTGCCCCCCCACTCAGTTCCTTCTCTACTGCAGAGGACTAATTAGAACTTCAAAGTAGAGAGGAGGAGGGAGGGTAGTGGAGCACCCACAAGGACACACATCTCAAAGAACCTCAGTTACTGCACAAGGTGAGTAACCCCCCCTTCTTCTTCCAGTGATGTCCCTGTGGGTGCTCCACTTTATGTGACTGTAGAGCAGTGCCCCTCAGGTGGAAAGAGGGGTTTGGATTTAATTCTCAATGGATGATAGGACTGTGTGTCCAAGCCGGGTGTCATGCTGAGACCTGGTCAATGACATAGTGTTGTATCAATGTGTGGGGTGATGTTCAAGTACCTGCTTTGCATATGTTACTCCTGGGGGAATTCTGCTCCAAAAAATCCAAAATTCTGCATTTTATTTAATATAATTACACCAGTTTCACTTACGCTGATAATTTATTTAACCTCCCATACAGAAAAAAAATCACAATAACAGCATTTCTTAAACACATGAAAGTTAAGTTACAAAGGTAACCAAGACCCTGCATTCTAGTTATAATTGATTTTCATTTAAGTTACATTACTTTTATTTTGGTGTTTGGTGTTCTGTAAAGTAGACTGTTGCTTTAAATTGCTCAGACTTTCACACATGAAAGTCATACAGTTTTGCTAATCGTTGTTCTGCATTTTTTTAAAATGGATAAGTAAAATACATCCTGAGCTGTAATTTAACTCTACTCTGCCTCTCTGGCACAGGAAAAAAAGCAAGAAAGCACACAGACCTTACTAGTTGAGGATTCCGTTACTGTCATTTGCAATAAGGACACGTCTTCAGCGGCAACGTTAAAGTGCATTTCTTTGCTCCCCCATTTTTCTGCAAGGGAGCCAAGAAATCTGCAGAAGGTATGAATTCTGCGCCCCCCACAGAGCGCAGATTTCCCCCAGGAATAATATGTCATTAATAGACATGTCATTCAAGAAGGCTACTGAGGTGGCTGCTGCTCTTGTGGAGTGTGTTCTGGCCCGTGAGGGGGGTTGTCGCCCAAGTTGACGGTAGCAGAGCTGGATGCAGCCTGAAATCCATTTGGAAAGTCTCTGCTTAGAGATGGGTTTGCCTTTAGAGTGTTCTGTGGTGGAGAGGAACAGCGTAGAAGTTTTTCTGAACGGCTTGGTCTATTTCAGATAAAAGGCTAGTGCCCTTCTGACATCTGCCTCTTGCCTGTCCTTATGAGGTTTAGGGAATAATATGGGAAGATGGATGGGTTGGTTGAGGTGGAATGAAGAAGGGACTTTAGGTAAGAATTTAGGGTGAGGTCTCAGAGTGACCTTTATTCTTAAGAAAAATTGTATATGGTGGGTTTACCATCAGGGCCCCTATTTCTCCAACACGCCTTGCTGACGTGATGACTACTAGAAAGGTTACTTTCATGGAAAGATGTAGTAGTGAACATGTAACCAGAGGTTTGAACGGGGCAGTCGTCAGAGATTGAAGCACTAGAGTGAGGTCCCACGGAGGAATTAGGGCTCTGGGTTCTGGGTAGAGGTCATGAACGCCCTGCAGGAATCTTTTAGTAGTTGGGTGTGCAGAGACCGAAAAGCCATCCACCTTGTGGTGGAAGGTTGTAATTGCTGCCAGGTGTACTCTTAATGAACTCTCTGAGACACCTGATTTCTTAAGGTAAAGTATGTAGTCCAAGACTACGGGCAGGGTAGAATTGGTGGCTTTGATTTGTTTGTTTAGGCCCCACATATGGAATCTCTTCCATTAGTGGAGGTATGTCGAATGTGTAACTGGCCTTACTGTTTAGCAAGATATCCTTAACTTCTTTGAAGCAGATCATCTCCTCGCCTTGGAACCACTGAGGAGTCAGGCTCTTAGATGGAGCGTCTCCAGGTTTGGGTGCAGATTTTGGCCTGCGTCCTGAGAGAGGAGATTTGGAAAGAATGGAAGGACTTGCAGCGAGCATGCTGACATCTATTGTAGGTATGGATACCATGTTTACCTAGACCATGCTGGAGCTATCAGGATGACTTTGGTTTGATCATATCTGATCTTGTGTATGACTCTGGGCATTGGCGGGATGGAAGGGAAGGCATGCACGAGTGGTGCGTCTGATCAGATGAAAAAAGCATTTTCTCTGGATTTTGGTCCCAGACCCGCTCTGGAGCAAAATGTTGGACATTTGCTGTTCTGCCTCATGGCAAATAGGTCTATCGAGGGGAACCCCCATAGTTGAAATATGTTCTGGATCACTGAGATGTTTATTTCCCACTCATAGTTGTGTGAGAACTTTCGGCTGAGCATGTCGGCTGTGATGGTCTGAGATCCTTGTAGGTAGGTGGCTGATATTGTCTGTCATGATCTGTATGGTTTTGTTTTTGATTAGAGGCATGAAGTGCACATGAGCATTGCGAACTGTTCGGAGTTCCAGGATGTTGATGTGGAGAGTTGATTCCTGTGCTGTGAGGCTGTTTAAATGGGCACCCCAACCCAGTAGGGAGGCATCCGTTGTAATTATCATTTGGGAGGGAATGTTGTGCGGGCGGGTCCACAATTGTAACGAGTCCTTGACCTTCATTGGCATGCTTAGGAGTTTTGTCAGTCTTTGATTGTGTGGAATGTACACTGTCCTGAGCCAAGCTTGCAGGCAGCGCATGCATAGTTTGGCATGATTTATGACATATGTGGTCACCACCATGTGACCTAGTAGCTGAAGGCAGGTCCTGGCAGATACTTGTGGACTGTGTATCATGGTATCGATCAAGTTTGTCAGGGCGATGAATCTCTGAGGTGGTAGTGATGCTTTCGCCTACATAGAGTTTAGGTGGGGTCCCAATAAAGTCTGGTTGTTGAACTGGTGTTAGCATTGACTTTTGAAGGTTTATTTGTAAACCAAGATCTGTGAAAGGTGACATTGTCTTTTACATGGCTTCGACGGCTTCTTCTCGAGTCTGAGCCTTGATTACACAATCATCTAAATATGGGTAGATCATGACCCCTTGCTTGCATAGGTGGGCCGCCACCACTGCTAGCACTTTGGAAAACACTCGGGGGACCGTGGAAAGGCCAAAGGGTAGTACTGTGTATTGAAAGTGGTCCTGTCCCAGTTCAAATCTGAGGAATCGCTTGTGTGCTGGGCATACAGCGATATGAAAATATGCGTCTTGCAGGTCAAAGGCTGCAAACCAATCCATTCATTCCAGAGCAGGAATTATTGTTGCTAAAGTAACTATCCTGAAATGTTGTGTTTTGACAAATTTATTTAGTTTCCTGAGTTCGAGAATGGATGTCCATTCCCCAGACTTCTTTTGTGTTAAAAAATAATGGGAATAAAAGCCCTTCCCTCTGTGTTGTACCAGCACTGGTTCTTCCGTGCCTAGTTGCAGGAAGTATTCTATTTCCTGTCTTAAGAGTGGCTTGTGAGAAGGGTCCCTGAAGAAGGACGAGGAGGGAGGGTGGGTAAGGAGAGGAACTGGATGGAGTAGCTGGTCTTGATGATCTCTAGTAGCCATTTGTCAGAAGTGACAGTACGCCAAAATGGGTAGAATGGTACCAGACAGTCTGTAAACAGATGGTTGGTGCAGTGTGGAGTTAGCGATAATAGTTGCGGGAGGTCTGTCAAGCCCTCAACCAAACCTTCAAATTTGGTGTTTGGAGATTGGTTGCTGTAACGTGGAGGACTGTGAAAAATTTGAACTTCGTTTGGGTGGTGTTTGCCTACGTCTTTGAGGATAATACGGTCTCTGGTTGTGTGTGTATGGAGCCTGTCTAGGACGTTATAATGTATAATACCTGCCTCATTTGCATTTAGTTGCAGGTGTATAGATGCCTAGAGATCTAATAGTGGCTCTCGAGTCCTTTAAGGAGTGAAGTGACTCATCAATCTTGCTGGCAAACAGCTTCTGACCCTCAAAAGGAAGGTCCTTTACTGTAGATTGCACCTTTCTTGGAAACCCTGACAGGTGAAACCAGGAGGCCCAGCAGCTGCAATGGTCCTCGCCGCTGCGTTATCAGAGTCCAATGATACCTGAAGGGCTGTTCGAGCTATAAGGTGGCCTTCAAAAATGAGCGATGTAAACTGCTCTCTCTTTTCCCCTGGTATAAGTTCAATAAAGTCTGCTAATTTTCAATAAGTCGTGTGGTCATATTTTGCCAAGAGAGCTTCATAACTGGCAATTCTAAACTGTAATGTTGCCGATGAGTAGGCCTTGCGGCCATGTAAATCCAGCCTTTTCCACTCCTTATCATAAGTTGTGGGCCTGGAATAATGGTGCCTACCTCTTTTGTTAACAGCGTCCACCACAAGAGAATTTGGGGGCTGGAAAATAAAAATTCTAGCCCCTCTGAAGGGACATAATACTCTTTGTCCGCCCTCTTACACGTAGGTCGGATTCTGGCACAGGTTTTCCAGATGGTTATGACGGGCTCCATAATGGCAAGGGAATCTTGGAAAATGTTGATGTGTGGAATATGTTCAAGAGCTTGGGCTGAGATTTGGCGACCTCTTCAAGAGGGATTTGAAGTGTGTTAGCTATTATTTTAAACAGTTCCTGAAACTGTTTGAAATCGTCTCCAGTAGTAGGGGGCAGAGGCATGATGATCTTGTCACGTGAGGAAGACAAGTCGGTCGCAGGAATAGCCTCCTGGTCTAACTCCTGCTCTGTTTGCTCAAAAGTCTGTTCCTGGGAGACGTCAGGTGGAACTACTGGTTTTGGTGAGAGGTGTCTATACATTTCCCTGCTGCTTGGTGGCTTGGGAAAATATTGCCTGTATGCTGCCCATGGGTCCCAGAATGACCATTGTGGTCAGCAAGGCACAGGTGGGTGTCCCCATGAGTGTCCATACCACCCCTGTATGTCTGGTCTGGGATGGTGTCTAGCATGCTCTCGTGGCTCAGATCTGATACTGGTCTGCACGGGTGAGGAATGCTGAAATGAAGAAAGTTCCCCCTCCTCGTTCTCCTCACTGGAGGGGGGGGGCAAGATGCAGCTCGTGGATGCAATATCAGTACAGAGGAGAAGGGACTCAAGTTCCAGGCTCACTGTCAGGTCCTTAGGTACAAGGAACTGCTGTATTCTTGGTACCGGAGAAGGCACTTGCATTTGTTGCAGTACCGGGAGGTAGTGCGGTGCCAGAGGGATAGGTGCCGATGTTGACTGCACCGGGGACTTAGGAGGCTTCAGTGCCGATGCATCAGTGATGTGCAGCAGAGAGCCAGGAGGTGGCCCCTGTGCCTTAGAAACTGCAGAGGCACTCGGTAGGGAGGATTTTGTTGTTGCGACCGGTGCCGTAGAGGAAAGGGCAGTCTTTTCTCTGCCTTCCTTTTTGGAGCCTGGCCGCTTAGGGTCTGTGGCTTTTACGGTACCCACGGCACCAGAAGTCCCTGCTGACTCATAGGTACTTTGCCACAGTGTGGTCGGTACCAATGCAGTAGAGCGAGCTGGGGAACGCTTCTTTTTAGATGCAGGTTTGGTAGGAGGAGTGGTAGCTCTCCTCTTTGCAGGTCTTAAAAGACAGGTCCCTCCCGCATGAAGCAGAGGAGGAGGATCTGTCAGAAGCCACCTTCAGTGATTGGTCACTGGGAGAAGTTTGCGTTCCTGGGATGGAGGGACTTCTCCATGAGAATAAGCTTAAGTTTTAGGTCCCTTGCCTTCCTTGTGCGGGTCTTCAGATTATGGCAATGAGTGCACTTTTGGGGTACATATGTTTCCCACCGCCACCTGACGCATTGTGAGTGTCCATCAGAGATAGGAATTGCCTCATGGCAGGAAATGCATTTAAATCCAGGAGATCCTGGCATTTCAAAGGGAATATCCCGTGATGGGATGAAGTTAGAAAAGAATTTTTTTTATACAGGGAGAAGAAAAATAGAAAGTCTTAACCAACTAATCTAAATGTACTAATAACACTAATCTAACTTTATATAGAAAAACTGCTAACATGCATATCTGAGGTAAAGCAAGTGAAGGCACTGCCGGAGCTCTGACTTGAACCAAGGGCGAATGAGAAGGAACTGAGTTGGCAGGAAGGAGGGGCGGCGGGGGGGAGGGGCGGCTGAACAATGCTAATCAACTGCAAGATTGACAGGCAAGAGACAGGGAGAGCACATGTGCAGCCCAGCCAGATACTGCTGTTGAAATTGTCCAACTAGAAGCACAGGGTGCACAATCATCTAAAGTGGAGGACTCACAGGGACATCACTCGAAGAAGAACCTCAGGCTATGAAATGATATACCAGTTTTCTAACTTTTACCTGGTAAGGATATGTAGGTTGATGATAAACAGGTTGAGCTACCATTACAGGGGAACTGGAAATGGACCGTGACTTTAAAAGAAAAAAAAAAAGATACATTAGAAATTTTAATACATTAATCTCAGGAATTGTTACTTTTACTAAAACATACACCTTAAGTACTATATGCTATACAACTTACCATTTTAAAAACAAAATAATTTATAAAAATGGTTACTTACAGTAACTATGATTCTTTAAGATGATCATTTGCATGGATCCAGACTGCAGACAAAGCACATGGCCTAGGCACATGAACTAAGAACTTTCTTGAAAGCAGTGTTCATTGGGACTGCTCACATACCCTATATCCTCAAATTCCCCCCCCACCCCGTCCATCCAATCCTTTGGATATGAAAGGGAGTGCAGCCTCAAACCTAATTTAAGTTCCTTCCACAAAACACAAAATCTGCTGGAAGACTCTGGAATAATGGAATATATCGTACCAAAGTCCACAAGGTTGAAATAATTGAGGGCCCTGATACTAAAGGACACAGAGTATGTCTACACAGCAAAGAAAAATCTGCAGCTCATCCGTGCCAGCTGACTCATTCTCAGGGGGCTCAGGCTGTGGGCCTGTTTCACGACTGTGTAGACTTCCAGACTCAGGCTGCAGGCCAAGCTCTGGAACCCTCTCACCTCGCAAGGTCCTAGAGCCTGGGCTCCAGACCACGCCCAGATGTCTACACAGCAGTGAAACAGCCCCATAAGTCCAAGTCAGCTGGCACAGGCCAACTGTAGATTTTTCTTTGCTGTTTAGACATTCCCTCAGCACCAGAGGAACCAACATCAATGTACTGGGAAGCCCAGATTTGAGGCACTAAAGCTTGAGGCAGTCAACACCAAGATAATCAATGCCCAGGTGCTCAACACAAAGGGTATGTCTACATGGCAGTTAAAAACCTCGGCTGGCCCATGTCAGCTGACTTGGGCTTCTGGAGTTCAGGCTAAGAGGCTGTTTAATTGTGGAGTAGATGTTTGCGCTCAGGCTTGAACCTGATCTCTGGGACCCTCCCACCTTGCAGAGTCCCAGAGCCTGGGCTCTGGCTTGAACCTGAATGTCTACACTATAATTAAACAGCCCCTTAGCCCAAGTCAGCTGGCATAGTCCAGATGCAAGTTTTTAACTGCAGTGTAGACATACCCGTGATGTCTAAAAGACAGAATCCAACAGTAAACTATGTGTAAATTTCTTCCCAGGACATCTTTCCAATGCAGCTTCTTGGTAACGATAAAATATCTGTCTTTTGGGGTTGATAGAAAGGTGCTTGCCCTTCCCTGTTTAAACCCAGAACTTGATCTACCCCCATTTATCCTCCTCCCAAAACAAACACCAATTCTAAGATGGATGTGAGACAGATTGAGGGATATGTTTGTGGCAATTTATGAATTCAATTTTTTGTGAACACTGTTATATTTCATCCTCCATTTTGAATGTAACCTTTATTGTGGCCTGAAATATTCATTATGGTATCAGGAACTTGACACATAATAGGGAGGCTATGACAGAGCCATCAGCATTGAAAGTCCCTCTCCTGGTGGAACAATGGGGTTGCTATCAGCAGGTCAACTGACTTTGAACTTTCTGCCCAGAAGCTGACAGGGGGAAGGAGCATGGAAAATCCCCAGTGGAAAAACAAGGACAGAAAAGGTAGAAAAGGCTGTTTTAAAAAGAGGAATACCCTTTAAGCAAGGGAAAACCATTTCATTGCCAGAAACAAAAGACCAAGCTGAAAAAAGTGGAGGCATGAGTGGCTTTATCTCCCTAAAGGACTGTGGTCAAACCCAAAGCTCCCAAAAGGGGGTGAGATCACACTGAGGGGACTGCATTCTGGAATTTATTTTCCATAGATCTGTAATTCTCTTGTGCTTTTTAAGAGTAAAGTGTGCATGTGTGTATATAAGAAATTCCTTTGTTAAACCTGTGTTCCTTGCTTTATGGCTACACTGACCCTGAGGGGATTAACTAGAAAGCTCACACAGCCAGGTAGACTCTGGGGGAAAAGTGTGGACACTGGTTCTGGGGTCTAGGTGGCCAGACTACAAGGTCTCACTGCCCAAGAAGAGTGTTATACACTGGGTCTGGGAAGTGAGTTTGAGAGATCCAAAGAAAGGAACAGTGATCAGTCACTACTCAAACCTAGGGAGTTTATTAGCATTTAGGATTCAGTGGTCACAATAGACTGGAGTCTATTCAGAGACTGGACCAGCGACTGGTCTAGGTTGTGACTGCATGTTCTCACAAAACTCAGTAGTCCTAAGTTCCAATTCTTTGCTCTTACCCTACAGCCAAAACCTTTCACCACATTTCTACATAGTTCTCTGTTATTAATTTCTTTCTGCTCTATAATGTCTCATCATTTATTCTATATTTAAAAAAATAGGTGAAGCCAAATGACGTGAGAATTTAAACTTCATATACTTTTTTGTAATATTATGCATTTTTAAAGTCACAGATTCCCTAGGACAAGGCAAAGGTAAAAGCATTAACAATGTAAAACAGTTTGTTTTATTCAACAGGATCCATGAAACCTGTACTAATGATCATCTGTTAACTGCAGTTACCTCTTAACAGACACATTAATTACATTATATGATGCAGTTACAGTCAGAAAAGCAGCAAATTCCTTAGCTGCCATCAAACATCATGAGAGACTAGGTGGGTAAGGTAATAGTTTTATTGGACCAACTTCTGTTGGTGAAAGAGACAAGCTTTTGAGCTAACACAGAGCTCTTTGTCAGGTCTGGGAAACATACTCAGAGGTTGTGTCTACACTAGAGATCTTACAGCGGCGCTGCTGTAAGATCTCCTCTGGAGCCGCTGGAGGGTGGGTGGGCAGTAGAGGGGGAAGCTGAAGGACAGGATGATATTTTCAATGGGTAGACAACCTGCCCACCCTCCACCTGACCACTAGCTGGCAATGTTGGTGGTTGTTCACCCACTGGGGGAAAAGGAGGGGGAAAAAGCGGGGGAGGGGGGGAGTGGGTTAGTGAGTTATAGATTGTTGTAATAAGCCATAAATCCAGTGTCTCAATTCAGTCCCTGATTTTTAGTTGGCACTTACTACCCCACACTGGAAGCCTTACAGGATAACACCAAACAATTACAACCCATATTCGATGAGGACCACATCCTGAAAGAAATCTTTCCCAAATGATTTCTTCTGGCCTTCAAACAACTCCCCAATCTCTCCATGCTCATCATCTGAAGCAAGCTCCACACAGACTAGGACACAGCAACTGAAAGTGGCACACACTCTGCCAGAACAACAGATGCAAAACCTATAGACATATCTTCACTACTATGATGAGCAACACCCCAATCAACATGCCTTTCAAGATCTATGGGTCTTAAACTTGCCTATCACAACATGTGATGTATCTCACCCAGTCCACTAAATGCCCCAATAACAACTATGTGGGTGAAACCAGACAATCACTACGCTATTGAATGAATTAACACAGAAAAACGATGAGACAAAACTACTATATCATCTGTGGGTGAGCACTTTTCACAAGGGAAACCTGCACAACCCCTTCAAAAGAAGAACCTGGGAACCTAAATTCATAACTTTGCTAGACACTAAAAATCATGGACCAAATAGAAACACTGGATTTATGGTATATTCCAACAATCTATAACCCACAATCTCCCCCAGTTTTTTCCCCCCTTCAATCCCCCTTAGGAGTGAAGAGGTGTTAAGGGGTCACTTCACCTTGAATGGTCCCTTGAAATATGTGTATGTGAAATATACTTATGCTAAGCAATCTGTTCCACCTTGTATTTAGCTGGGACACACTGAGTACATTTCCCAGACCTGAAGAAAAGCTCTGCGTAAGCTCAAAAGCTTGTTTCTCTCATCAGCAGAAGTTGGTCCAATAAAAGATATTACCTCACCCACCTTGTCTCTTTCATATCCTGAGACCAACACAGCTATAAAAATACTCCCTACAATCAAAGATAATGTACAGTTAGCAAGTTTCACAGTAGTAATTAATTTTCTTCGGAGTTTTATCTATTTTGTATAACAAGGAGAGAGGAAAGAAGAAAACATGGAAAATACAAGAAAGAAGCAAAAGGAAACAAGCTTCATGGAACAGAACCTTACCAACAAGCCAGTTGTGAGACATATGCAGTATTCTCAAATTATAATCTTTCAGATATTACTTACAGGCCATGGCTGTGGAACAGATGCAACTTCAGGAGTATGAAAATAAGCTACTCCATTGTGATAAGTATAAGGATATCCAGTTGAAGTGGTCAAGTACATTGTTCCAGCTGCTGGCATTATGCTAGATCCTAAAATAAACAATGATGGTTGAAATTAAAATTAAGCAAACTTGCAGCTTTTAAAACAAGTGAAGTAATAGAAAATTCCAATGCACATTTTAATTGCCCAATATAAAAAAAATTATACTCTATATATCAACTCCATGTTGCTGCTCTGCATCTCTCTGTAACAGGAATGTGTCTCAAACAAACCACAGATGCTGCAATGGCTCTGGAGTGCATTTTTAAATCCTTGATGGGAACTATGCTTCTAGCTAAAATGTAACATAGTTCTCTCTATCTTTTTATCCACTGTGACAGCCTTTGTTTGCTAATAAACTATCTCTGACATCTTTCCCCATAGGCTATAAATAGTCAATTGGACTTTTCTAAAGGCTTTGGTACTCTCTAGGTAAACACAGTGCCCTTCTAATGTCCACATTATGCAGATAAAGCTAAGATTGGGCCTCACAATCACCTGGTTCTTATGTACCTAAGTATATGGTTGTCTGGCCATTAAAGCATCAATTCTCCATCTCTCTTGGCAGAGATGATGGCTTTAAGAAAAGCTGTCTTTAGAGACAGATGCACCAAAGACATTTTCTTGAGGGGCTCAAAGGGAGGATCCATGAGTTTAATCAGAGAAAGATTTAAGCCCCAAGAGTGGAGGAGGCTCCCTTGTAGAAGGAAAAACATTGGTCGTGCCTTTCAGGAACAAAGAAACAGTACAACCAGAAAATACAGATCTGTGTTTAATATGCCTGACAGCTAAATGTCCCTTAAGCCTGGATTTAAGGAGAGGGAAGTGGTCCAATGTCCTGATGTCAACTTGGGGAGCCTTCAAAATCATCTCCAATGGTGTCAAAGCTACTCTGAGACAAGTGCAGATTTGAATCAGAGAGGTAGGTACAGAAGCAGAGTCAAGTGGTGGAAAAGTATGTGGTGAAATGGACAGTAGCCTTAATGGGGTCCCCCATTCAGGCACTGGGAGAGAGAAGGGATTCTTGGGATCTATTGTAGTGACATGTCCAGGCTGACTGGTGCTGTGGTCTGTCACTGGAGATGTGTGTTGAAGAGACAGCTATATCATTAAAAATCTCCAAAATACTCCAAAAGTATTGGAGAGTAAGAGAGAGGAAAAAGATGATAGTTCCTCCTCTTCTTTTGTTTGTGCCCCTCTAGTGGCGAGAAGTGCTTCCTGTTCTGATTTCCTGGAGTCGTCCTGTGGTGCCATAACTGATGTATTGGTGCTGGAGGACATGTTCAATATAGGACTGGCAGAGAGGGCAGTGGTGCTGGATGAAGGGTTTGACCTGGGACTTTTCAAGCCTTATGCCACAGTGCCAGCTCAGTTTTTAGTGTTGTGCCATAAACTGATTTTGATGCCACAGAACTGACAGGACTGAGCATTGGTGGCTGAGGGAGTCTCTCCCTTTATGGGGACAAGTAGATCCCAGTCTTGAGCTTTTGGTGGAAGATGGCACAGAAACCCAAGTAGAAGGGTTTGTCACACAGGAGAGAACCGCAGGATTGATCATGGTCTTGACACCAGTCATGGGCCTGCCAGAGTTTCAGGCTGTACATGTTCTGAGGCCAGATGAGTCTGGAGCTTCAAGTCTCTCTCCCTTCTGGCCTGGGGAGTAAAGGCATGGCAATGGTAAGAAAGTTGGCTTTACTCAAAAACAGATGGGACTGGATGTGGGCATCAGACTCAGGAATACCCCAGACAAGAGGAGCACCTCTTGAAGCCCTTACAGGGCTCAGGACCTGTCACAGTTCTGGTAAAGGAGCCCAGAGAGAAGACAAGGGAATGACTACTTACACTATTCTAAAATTAACTAACTACACTACACTAAACAATCCTAACTATTTACAGACTTACAAGAAAAGGTTATAAGGTAGTCTAGTCCTGAGGACAGGACATGGTGAGTTCTGTCTGCTCTCTGCAGTGGTAGTGAAGGAGCTGAGTCAGTTAGGGTGTGAACTCCACTATATAGAGTAGGGCGATGATGTCATTCTTGTGTACACCCAATGGAAATAGCTTTTCAAGGCAGTTTGGCAGCTCAATACCAGGAGGTGCCAAACCCACAAGATATAACACACAGAGGCCCTTGGAGAAGAACAAAATGTTTTATACTCAATTTAGTTTGTAAAACAAAACTCTGTAATATAGATAAAAGCAATTACAATGCAAAGGTACTGAAATATGACTGTCCTGGGTAAGCTAAGCCTTTCATCTATGGATTCACACTCTTTGACAGGACACTTCATCAGTACGTTTTCAAAGTCTTCCCAAAACTTCAAAAATGGAAACTAAAGAAACAGGGACGCAATTTTGGATAAGCATATAAGTATTTGAATGTTATTTTGCGTTAAATCACAACAATCTTAACAGTAGAGCTGGTTGAAAAATTTCCAAATTCCCAATGTCGACAATTTTTTCATCCATTTTAAACATAAAAAAACAAGCTTTCATTAAAATTTAGTTTTTCAATTAGCTCTAGTTAACAGTACCTAAAAACGGTTCATAACAAAGTCTTTATTATGAATAATCTTCTGATATAAAATTCCTGAACACTTCAAAGCTGTCTATTCAGGTCAAAATGAAACTAGTCATTACCTAAGCATCACAAACTATGACCCCAGGATTAGAAACATCTCAAGAGGTAAAATGTAAGAAAGGGGAACTAAACAATTCCTCAGAAAATGCTATTAGCAAAGTCAGAAATAAAGGTGGAAAAATAACTAGTTGACAATCCTATCATTCTTGGAAGTTTGTATTTTGGTATCAGATAAATTGGCCAATCCTGCAGGTAAAAGTATTGACAAACCAAACTTGTGGGAGACCAACTATAGATTCACAGAAACTAAAGACCATGAACGCCTATTCCATCCCCTGCCAATTCAGTATTCCCTATGTTATGATACATTTACTAGTGCAGGGGTTCTCAAACTGGGGGTCGGGACCCCTCAGGGGGTCGTGAGGTTATTACATGGGGGATTGCGAATGGTCAACCTCCACCCCAAACCCCGCTTTGCCTCCAGCATTTATAATGGTGTTAAATATATAAAAAAGTGTTTTTAATGTATAAGGGGGGTCGCACTCAGAGACTTGCTGTGTGAAAGGGGTCACCAGTAAAAAAGTTTGAGAACCACTGTACTAGTACAACATCCAGTCAACTTAAAAATATTTCAAGCAATGTGGCTTTCGTTACTTCTCTTATGAGACCATCCCACACCCCAACAGATTTCAATCTCTGAAATTTATTTCTGATATTCAGCCTAAATTTTCCACGTCTAAATTGCATTCTTTTGCTGCTATAGCCCTTCACTGCCCTAAGTAGTTGGTCTCTTAACTTGTGTTTTCATTTTTCAGATATTTGTAGGCTATTAAATTTAAATAAATAAATGTAATGGAGATATCCTATCTCCTAGAACTAGAAAGGACCTTGAAAGGTCATTGAGTCCAGCCCCCTGCCTTCACTAGCAAGACCAAGTACTGATTTTGCCCCAGATCCCTAAGTGGCCCTCTCAAGGATTGAGCTCACAACCCTGGGTTTAGCAGGCCAATGCTCAAACCACTGAGCTATTCCACTCCCCTAACCCTTAGTTAGGGTATTCATAATAATTATCTTCTCTCATTAGGTCAGTTCTTCTAGATCCCTAATCGTATTTGTTGATCTTCTCTAAGTCCCCCCCCGCTTTGTCTGATCTTTCTGGTAATACACTGCACACAAGTAAATGGAATATTTCAAATGTGTTTGCTCCAGAGGAACACAGAGAGGGACTCCAGTTCCATAACATGGTGCCTTTTGGGTATGCAAGCCCAAAACTACATTGGCTTTTTTTTTTGCTGACATATCACAGCAATATCAGGTATAGAAATATGTTCCTTCTCAAGTAAAAATGTACAAAAAGGGACCACCTACCATCAAAGCTTTTTTGAAAAGTTTTTGAAGAACTGAAGCGACACTGCATCATCCCTGTAGCAATATGGGACAGGTGACACTAGAGAATAGGCAGGGGGTGTGGATATCTAAACATACATATAGAAGTGGCCCTCTCAAGGATTGAGCTCACAACCCTGGGTTTAGCAGGCCAATGCTCAAACCACTGAGCTATCCCACCCCCCTAACCCTTAGTTAGGGTATTCATAATAATTATCTTCTCTCATTAGGTCAGTTCTTCTAGATCCCTAATTGTATTTGTTGATCTTCTATAAATGTCCCAAACCTCATGGATCCCTGGCTTTACCCAGAGACTGTCCCTGCCTCCGTTAGGTGCAACCTCCGGAGTAGATAAAAGGAACATGTGCCACCCACAATATATTATCTTGTTTAAGTCTCCTTCAGTGTGCCTGTAGGATAAATACACTCTCACTTCTTGCCATCCTTAAACGGTATATCACTGCTGCCTTGTCATGGCTTTGGCCACATCCAACACATCTGAATCCACTGCTGTGCTACCACTGGTTATACTTCAACAGCTATGACCTTTGAACATGGCTTCACACAGCACACATGGGGAGTTAATGTTCCTTAGAGCAACATATGTAGCATGTCAATATAACATGTGCCCTGTTTCCAATAGGAAAATGCTGTATACAGCAGACTGTCACATACTCTTTTCCTGCAGTTAAAACACATTTGTCTTTAGCTTTGAGGGTCTGTCACCATAAGGGCTTGTGGCAGCTAGGAAGGGGCATACTGCCATACCAGAGTCACATTCTGCCATACCAAAGAGTCACATTCCATTCCACATTCAACTGGGTACAATCTTCATCCATTGGATCCCTTCCATGCAATGTACAAAGGAACATACTGTAGGGGTTAAAGGATGGTGCCTGGAAATCTGGTACTTTTGACATTTTTGTTAGTATGCCAGCGCTTCCACCTGCTGACTATTCTGATCATATTCAATGCTCTGGATTAGTACAGTACAAGTCCAACACAGATATTTTTGGTTAGAGTTCTATCTATATCACATGCAGCTAAAGAATATAGTGAAAATACATACGAGAAATCCCTACTTGTTGTTTTCTTATTGCTGGACCAATATTCAGTTTCTTATCCTTATAATTAAGTTTTTCAGCCTAAAACAAACAAAGAAAAACACTTAATATTCAGTACTTTTACTTTTTATTTTTTGGGTGCATATAACTACTGAAAGTAAAACTAGAAGTAGATGATAGTGAACACACCCAACAAGCTTCTTTCAGAGCTCTGATAGTTACCTCAAGTACTAAAAAAACAACTTTTACTATCTAAATCCTTGGCTTCATTTTGCAAAAATTACCAATTATGCTCCAATATGTACATGGTGCTTATTGTGATTTGGACAAATGCTCACTAAAATTTACTTCTGAATGCTAATGGAGTTTCCTGACCAGCTACCAGAGACACAAATAATTGCTTGTAAAAACGCCAGTTTTACTTTTTTTTTTTAAATAAATGTCATTATAAAATATATTTGAGTTTACTTTAAAAAATTAACTATATTAAAACATGCAATTAATATACTGCAAGGCTACTATACATTTTATAAAGGATGACTGCAATAATTCAGCTGGTGTGCTGTAAATTCACACTCTGAGACTTGCAGCACAGCTGTGCAGGTTAGCATTGTCTGCACTGGGGGTTAGGTCAGCTTAACTATGCCACTCCGGGGTATGGATTTTCACACCCCTGAGTGACATAGTTAAACTGACTTAATTTTCTAGTGTAGACCAGGCCAAAGTGTAAATTAAAGTAGGATGGGGCTACTTTTATTTACATCTTCTTTCAGCTCCTCATCATTTAAAGGAAAACTACAAAGTGACTTCAAAAAATACTGTCAAATTCACAAAGTAAACCAACTGCAAACTTTTGCTAATCTCTTTCATTTATAGTAGATGTAAGTATTACTTTGCATCTACACTAGGTAAAACAAAAATCAGACAGCAATGTGATTTTTAAATTGTAAGTGTCCCTTTTATCCTGCTTCTGCAAAAGGAAATCTGGAGGAACCAGAGGGCCTGATTCTCCATTTCCCTGAACACTTTGTAGTCATTTAAACCAGTGCAAATGGGTGTAAAATCAGAATCAGGACCCAAGTTTTCACTGCCAGAGCTAGGAGGTCCAAGTACCAGATACAATATATCCATTAAGGAGCTAACAATAAAACCTCAAACCTTTTGCAGTTTTATTATCCAGAATATTTATTTAAAGAAAGATATAAAAGGAAATGCATAAAGATATCAGTTTCAGTCCAGTCCAAAGGCAACAGTCGGAGAGCAGAATACTTTCCTCCTCTGGGCCCCAATTCAGCAAGATATTTAAGCACTTGCTTGACGCTAAGCACTGTCTACGTGCTTAAAAGTTAGGCATGTGCTTTGCTGAATTTGAGCTCTGGAACGCAAAGGATGGTACTATGTATTCTCTTTCATGGCAAATAAACCTATTTAATGGAAAGCAGCGAGACATAACGAGTGTACAGTTTCCAGAGCTAAATTGCTTCCTGACACAGGTGGTGGGAACAAGCTCCTCTCTGATGATTGATGTTATATATTACATTGGTATTATAAGTCAAAATTTGGACTGCTTTTATATATATATATATGTATGTATATATTATTTTAACTAGAGTTGGTCAAAAATGGGAAATACCATTTCATTAAAATTGCATTAAGAATTTCCCAGCTCTTTGAATAAAATTTTCAATAAAATTTCAATATTTTAAAAATTTCAACCAGCTCTACTTGTTGATAGGTCGCCACTCAGTCTAGAAGAGGCTTTGCTTGAGGTAACATCCTCTGGTCTTCTTCAGGGAACTTCATGAACACAACTGAGCCCATGACTGATCCAGCCAACATAGCCCAAGCAGGCCAAGAGAACAGGTTGCAAAAGGCTACGGTGGTGGAGCCATCATGGCTTCCTATATCCTAGTAGAAGTACGAGAGGGAATATCCTGGCAGTTAAGAAAGGTCCATTCTGGGGCAAACCTCATATTCACAGGAGCAAGAATTAAGTGTATCTGGAAGTGGGCCTCAGATATCTCAGAGGTTTTTGAGTGAACCTCAGTGGTTCCTCCTTGATGAGTGTAAGGTTAACTTCAATTTCCCTCAGCCTAAAAATATAGTCTCCTTTACAGATGTCTTATGACTGCTGGATTTTCTACTCAAGGAAATCAGAGCACCAGAAGGAACTGGATTCACAACAAACTTCAGATCCAAGTGAGTAGTATACACAGAAGAGGCTGGAAACAGCTCTCTACAAAGTTAAGGTACCTGATACTGAAGCATCACCTTCACCTGCCTTAGTCAGCTCCAGAGACTCCCAGAACCCACCCTCCCTTAAAACTAAATCTCTGAGATGTCTTCTTAGATGTTCTGTGGGTTCAGAAGGGAAAATAATGCTACTGCTGCTTCTCTTCATTCTTCTGTACAAAGAAAGGAAAGCAACAAATCTGACCAACCAGCCCACAGACATCCTGGGCTTCTTTAATACCTTCAAATCCAAGCAGGTAAACACAGAAGGGACAAATATCCATTGGTAATGGATGTCTGCAAGCACTAATTTCAAATTGAAGAATTTACCTAAACAATGAGTATAATGATGAATATATCATCTTACCTCTTGCAAAATTTTTTGTGCATCTTCTTGAGTTTCAAAAGTGATGAAACCATACCTAAATAAAAATTACATAAATTATTTTTCTTGGCATACTACTTTATAACCAAAAACATGTTATAATATATATATTATATATTACATATTACACAAAATACTATGTTAAAACATTAAGTTTGAAAAGTAAAGCACTAAGAAGTTATGAAATGATAAATAAGGTTGCCTTGGCAACCTTAATTTGGCCCCGAATGCGTATGAACTATAACAGTCTTTAATTACATGATCACATTCTATTTTTCTCAGAGGACCACTGTCTCATTCGGTGAACAGTGCTTAATGAGCAGCTAGTCAATATTTTGTTTTATCCTCATTGTTCAATGTATGGCCCTGCTCTGAAGACAGAATTAACATCCTCATGGGCTTTTTTATGGTGGTCATCACTATAATATGACCGCTTTACAAACATTAATGAATTTATTTTCACAGCACCTGTGAGATGTAGGGGTATTATTATCCACATTTTACAGATGGGGAACTGAGTCACAGAGAGATTAAAGTCAAAAGTATCCACTACATTTTGGTGCCCAATTTACTGTACACTATCCAAACCCTTCTCTGAAGGCATAATTATTAATATCCTCATAGGCTTTTCTATAGCTCTGGCCAATAGCATTTTAATTCTTCACAAATATTATTAATTTTCACAGCATTCTGTGAGGTGACAGAGTGGTATTATCCCTATTTTAGAGATGGGGAACTCAGGCACAGAAAGTTTAAGGTAAAAGTTCTTCACCAATTTTGGATGCCCAATTTGAGACACCTGTGACCAGATTTTTCAGCACACTTAGTATCATATAGCATTTTGTATGTTAGACACAGGTTCTTATTGACATCAGCTGATGCTGAGCGTGCCTAGCACTTCTGCAAATTAAACACCAGGGTATCAAGTAGGGCACCCAGAAAATGAGGAATACACAATTAGTGATTACCTGTGAAGAATTTGGTTTAAGTGACTTGCCCAGCATCACCTAGAAACTCTGTAACATGGTCTGGGATAGAATCTCATTCTCTAGAGCAATATTTAACTGCTTTAACTATGAAATCATCCTTTTTCTTCCTGCTGTCCACTGCCTCATTCACTACAGAACTTCCAATTTCTGCAACAAATAAAGCTGGGGACTTATAGACAACAACCTCCTTCACTACACAACCTGATTCATTCCCACAGCAGGTCCATCCTCTGCCATGAATGAGACAGGGGTCCTGTGGAAAAATAGTGTGTGATTATGTAATTAGAGAATGTATTATCATGCATATACACAAGAGAGCACTTACTTTTGAGTGCTTGCCTTTGCAATCTTAATGTTCTTTTAAATGCCATTTTTTGTTTTTATTTCAAATTTTAAAAAAGCAAACTGAAAAAACAAACTGATATCCACATGGTTCATCAGCAGGGTTGGACTCTACAAACTCTGTGAATCCATCACACAGTCCTCTGTCACTTGAGCTAACTATGTAACTGATAGCTGTGGTGAGTTGTCATCCTCTGTGTGGACCGGAATTAGAGAAGAATGAGACACACACGTAACCTGTCTGTTTCAAATGTATTTGGTAACAGTAGAATAATGGTGAAACACAGAGATCTTGGGTTCCATTCCAGGCTTTGGAGGGAAGTTTATTGTAGTTTGCACAGACTCTTCTGCAGACTTTTTGCTTTCGCACCCTAGCTTCTTGTTCCAGTCCAGTTCTTCCTGTGTACCCAGTCCCAGTTTCCACTCCTCAGATTTCTAAACTCAGTCTCAGACTATTTACTTAGTTAGTGCAAATCTCCCCCCACTCCCAGTCTCTCCCCCTCCTCACACCCTGTCCCAGTCCCCTTGCCCAACCAGTCCTCTTTTCACCACTTCAGGCTCCTCAGCCAATCTGCCTCTCCCTTCTTACACCACTATCTCTTAAGGTATGTCTACACTACGAAATTAGGTCGAATTTATAGAAGCCGGTTTTACAGAAATCGGTTGTATACAGCCGATTGCGTGTGTCCCCACATAAAATGCTCTAAGTGCTCTAGTCGGCGGACCGCGTCCACAGTACCGAGGCTAGCGTCGACTTCCGGAGCATTGCACTATGGGTAGCTATCCCACAGTTCCCGCAGTCTCCGCCACCCATTGGAATTCTGGGTTGAGATCCCAATGCCTGAATGATGCAAAACAGTGTCACGGGGGGTTCTGGGTACGTCGTCAGGCCCCTCCCCCTCCGTCAGAGCACCGGCAGACAATAGATTCGCGCCTTTTTACCTGGGTTACCTGTGCAGACAACATACCACGGCAAGCATGGAGCCCGCTCAGATCAGTTCACCATCACCATATGTCATCTGGGTGCTGGCAGACGTGGTACTGCATTGCTACACAGCAGCAGCAGCTAACTGCCTTTTGACGGTAGATGGTGTAGCATGACTGGTAGCTGTGGGGCTGGCAGCCGTAGGGCTGCATTGCACCAGCCCCTTGCCTTTTGGTAGAAGATGGTATATTATGACTGGTATCTGTCGTCATCGTACTGCAGTGGCTGTCAATCATGAGCAACTGGGCAGACATGCAACTGTCTCGATGATGATGGCTATCAGTCGTAGTATGCTATTTTCTGCCAATTGCCCAGTATTGTCTGCTAAGCACCCAGAAGAGGCCGAGGACAGACGTGGGGCTGGCAGACGTGGGGCTGCATTGCTACACAGCAGCAGCCCCTTGCCTTTTGGTAGAAGATGGCATATTACGATTGATATCCATCGTCGTCGTACTGCAGTGGCTATCAGTCATGCTGCACCGTCGGCTGCCAGCTTAAGATGTAAAAATAGATTTGTTCTGTATTCATTTGCTTCCCCTCCCTCCGTGAAATCAACGGCCTGCTAAACCCAGGGTTTTGAGTTTAATCTTTGGGGGGACCATTCTGTGTGACAGTTGTTTGTGTTTCTCCCTGATGCACAGCCACCTTTCTTGATTTTAATTCCCTGTACCTGTACGCCATGTCGTCACTCGGCTCTCCCTCCCTCCCTCTTTCCCCTGGTCCGTCAGATACTAGTTTCGCGCCTTTTTTCAGACCAGGCGCCATAGCTAGCACTGGGATCATGGAGCCCGCTCAGATCACCGCGGCAATTATGAGCACTATGAACACCACGCGCATTGTCCTGGAGTATATGCAGAGCCAGGACATGCCAAAGCGAAACCCGGACCAGCCGAGGAGGCAATTGCAGCGTGGCGACGAGAGTGATGAGGAAATTGACATGGACATAGACCTCTCACAAGGCACAGGCCCCCGCAATGTGGAAATCATGATGTTACTGGGGCAGGTTCATGCCATGGAACGCCGATTCTGGGCATGGGAAACAAGCACAGACTGGTGGGACCGCATCGTGCTGCAGGTGTGGGACGATTCCCAGTGGCTGCGAAACTTTCGCTTGCTAAGGGCACTTTCATGGAACTTTGTGACTTGCTTTCCCCTGCCCTGAAGCACCAGAATACCAGGATGAGAGCAGCCCTCACAGTTGAGAAGCGAGTGGCGATAGCCCTGTGGAAGCTTGCAACGCCAGACAGCTACCGGTCAGTCGGGAATCAATTTGGAGTGGGCAAATCTACTGTGGGGGCTGCTGTGATCCAAGTTGCCAGGGCAATGAAAGACCTGGTAATATCAAGGGTAGTGACTCTGGGCAACATGCAGGCCATAGTGGATGGTTTTGCTGAAATGGGATTCCCAAACTGTGGTGGGGCCATAGACGGAACCCATATCCCTATCTTGGCACTGGAGCACCAAGCCACCGAGTACATAAACCGCAAGGGGTACTTTTCAATGCTGCTGCAAGCCCTGGTGGATCACAA